ATGAGCCCTAGTTTGGGAAGACAGACGTGCTCTATGTCTTCAATCTTGGGACCGCTCTGTACGGGAAGCGATGGCTGCGGATCTCGCTTCTCAAAGGTCAGGATGGCGTTTGACTGAACCATAATCTCCTCCCGAAGAGCGCCCTCTTTGAAAGCGTCGCTAAGAACTAGATCTTCATCACTGATCTGACGGCGTTTGCGGCGGCCGTAAGCGTCGACGCCGTCACAGTTGACGGGCGGACAGGAGCCGAAACAGACCCGTATATTGCACTGAAATCGTAAATTATTACTCGACGGGAATTTGAAAGCGTTGAAACGGGCTGTGAGTGACTTCCCGTGCGGGTCGTACTCCCAATTGCCGAAAATGCTGGGATCGGTGGCGCAGCCGTTGGCGTCCGTCACCTCGTAGTGGAACTCTCCGTCGTCTTCCATAGTCTTCGCGACACAACTTCTGGCGAAACCGCCGTAAATAAAGTCCGGCTGGACGTCCACTTTGAGCAACAGGTCGTCGCCGATCTCTGCGCTATTGATCTCTTTGCCCTCCAGAGTACAGATGGAGAGAATACAAGTGGGCGGCGGACCGGTGTTGGCGATTGTGCCCGACGTTGTAATCATACTGACGTTGAAGCCCAACGTTATAGTCCTCTCTTCGGTATTGTAGACACACTTTATATGATAGGCTCGCGCTCTGAATGTGACTAATTTGGGATGTTTTTGGATGATTAGCACAAACGACGCCTCGCCGTCCACATGGATGAGCCCGCAGTGACCGAACAGCACTTTGAAATCAACGGAATCGCCTTCATTGCTGGTCACCACTCGTCGGCATTGAGGGTCTTGACTGTGACCCTTCACGTACAGAATGCCGTCAAATCTGTCCAATTGGACCGACACCTGCACGCCATCAGCCAAACACATCACTATTGGAAAACATAATGGTTTACATTAGACAACAATTATATGCATTTTAGACAATCTTTGTGTTAATAAATTTACCCAAAATCTCTGACGGCGGGGGTATTGTTCGTGACTCGACCGGGATTTCTGGCTCTACATAACAGCCGACACTCTTATCGTAAGCATCGCCAATACGGCCTTTAGGACACGTGCAGATGGCTTTGTGGTCACGGGCTGTGCACTCAGAATGCGGTCCACATATATAACACGGACCTTAAGTGAGATATAAACACAATTAGTAATTATATAATAAACCAATTGTTAGACCAATCAATAGTCAATAACTTACTTATACACTGTTTGCTTCCTAAGTCACACTCTCTATCATTAGCGCAGTCATCGACGGCACGACAGCCTTCAATACTAGTGCACCCCTTGACGTATGGATCGCCGATGGAGTCGACGGGACAGCTGCACTCATAGCCGCCCGGCTTATTGTTACAGATGGCACCGGAGCCGCACTGGACGTGAAGACATTCATTCAAATCGATACATTCACCGCTCGGATGTAANAGATGGCACCGGAGCCGCACTGGACGTGAAGACATTCATTCAAATCGATACATTCACCGCTCGGATGTAATTCGTAGCCGTGAGGACAGACACAAAAGCCGCTTCGGGTTCCGGTGTAGACGCACTCTTCGTTGAGTGGACACGGATTAGTTGTCGTGCAGTTCTCAGACTTTATGAAACAGTAGTCGTTTTCGCGGAAGAAGTTTGGCGGACAACCGCATGTATTGCTGTCCAAACAGATGAGATTTCCGGGACAGTGATAGTCAATACCGCAAACGATTTTTTTGAAACACAGTTTGAATGGATTTCCTTCGTGTCCGGGCGGACAGTAACAGTCGGACTGATGGTTCTCTGTTCTGCAAATGGCATTTTGGCCGCACTTGTATTCGGCCACCGAATATCCCTTCACACCCGTCACGACAGTGGTCGCAGAGCACGGATCTGTGTATGCATTCAATTAAAAGTTTTTAAGTTAAAACAATGAGTACTTTTGTGGCAATAAATGCTGAGTACAAACCATAGCACTCTCCGGAACCGAAGTCACATTTCTTGGTGAGGGCGCAGTCAGAGTCGGCTCTACAGCCTCTATATGGGGGTGGAATAAGACGACAGCCCTCTCTATAGGGGTCGCCTTCGTATTGATTCAAACATTTGCATTCATAAGAACCCAAAAGGTTATGACAGCTGGCATTTCTCGAGCATATAATCTGCGGCTCTTCTAAGCACTCGTTGATGTCTTCGCAGAGACCGTCCAACGAGAGTCGGAAACCTCGCGGACAGACACAGAATCCACCGCCAGTTCCGCTGAATATACACTCTTGGTTTGAGAGACACGGGTTGGTTGTCGTGCACTTCTGGCTTCGCTCTGAATTTGTAATTC